GTTTTTCTATTTTTAAAATAGAGAAAAATCATTTAAAAAAACATACAAAAATTTGATTGGGTATAAGTTATATATGAAAGTTATGTTAACCAGAAGCATAAGAATCTAAATTTCAAGCCCCTGCATATTGACAACCCGTCGCTATTGTGATAAATCGTTTTAATCTTTGAATAATAAGTACTCTACTAGGACTATAACTAATTAAACAGCAAAAAGTCAGTTACTGATTCAAATAGTAACTTTTTTTTTGATAAAAATAACTAATTAATAGTTAAATTCACTTTTAGGTTATGTTAAAATAAAATAAAGATTTCATTTGTAACTAACTAAATTAATAAAATTTATTCAGTTCTTTTAAAATTCACATTTTAATAATTTTAAAAAAAGGAAATTACTTTAAAATAAAATTTAAAATATTGTTAAAAAATTTGTTATTATTAATCTAAAATTTAATACCTTTTTCAGCTCTTTTAAAAAATAAAACAGTTATGACTGACAGTCAACTATTTGGACAATTTGTAAAACTTATATTTTCAGTCAACGCTCATTTCATGTTGTTACACTGGTTCTCGTCCGATCACCAAAGTTAAGCAACATTGAGCGCGGTTAGTACTTGGATGGGTGACCGCTTGGGAATACCGCGTAGTGTTGGCTTCCTTTTTTTTAATTTTTATATAATTTAAAAAAATATATATATAATTTTTATTTCATAATTTAAAATTTTACCAAATTTAATTTAATTATTTTGTTTATTATTTATTAAAATTATTTCTTTTAATTAATTCTTATTATTTTTGAAAAAATATAAAATAAATCATTAATTAATTTTTTATAATTTTCTATTAATTTAATTAACGATTTATTATTTACAAATTTTGTTCTGTAAACTGTCAAAAATAAAAACATTCCGGTACGAAAGAAAACAAATGACTATTGTTGTGAAACCATCATCAAATTTTGATACCTCCATTCAAAACAAACCTATCTGGTGATGTTCGTCATTTTTGATGTCAACTTACACTTGTAACCAATGATTTTTAATGATGCTGAATGTTAAAAAAATCAATTAATTAAATCAAAGTTACAAAAGGAAGACTTGAATAAATTGTTTGTTGGGCGCCAGTCCTTTCTTGGGACAAAAATAAAAATAAATAAATAATTAAGGGACAAACGAATTAAATTGATTAAATAGATTAAATAAATTTTTCTTTAATCGTTGAATTAGTCGGGAAAAATAGACAAGGCCACCAGGCAAACTATTTTAGTGACTGTCAAATTCTACAATTAAATCAAAATTATTCTTGATTGTCAAATTAGTCTGAAGAGTACACACGGCCACCAGGCTTTTACTCAAAGACTGTCAAATTCAATAATCAAGGGAAACTCAAAGCAAAGAAATGATTCAAAATTCAAATTAAATTAAAATAGTCTTCCTTTTACTCAGCCTGCCGCAGTCCCAATTCTTGGTAGACTCGATATAATGCAAAAAAAATAATTACTTATTCTTTCTTTTTAAAAGAAAAAGGATTCTTTAATTCGAGGAATGGAAAAAGATGGAAATGGATATAATAATTATAAAATTAAAAGAATGACATTTCAATCAATTTTTAAATAAAAATTATAAATTAAATTTAGAGAATTAAATTCATTCTTAAATAATTCCAAAATCAATAAAATAATTAATTAAATTAAATTGAAATTCTAAATTAAATTAAATTCAGATTTAAAGAAAATTCATTATTGAAAAATTCAAACAATTAAATAATTTTGAGATATCATTCATAAATGGAAAATAAAATTTTACCAGAGAATTCCAAAAATCAATGTGTTCAAAATGATCCAAATTTAATAATAAAAATATATCCAAATAATCGATAATAAACTTCAAAAATATCCAATTATTGATGACATCAAAATTGAGGTTAGGTTGACCAATACAAAATATTCAATATAATCAATTTTTCTCAAAGTTTTTCTTAAATCTTGATATTTTTCTTAATTTCTTGTTTCAGTTCAACATTGTCTCGAAAGTACATAAATAAAAAGGGATTACAGACATTAATTCTTAATATTAAATTATTATAAGATTTTTCCATTTCTCGATTCTATAATGTGATTTCGTCTAGTAAATTTTTGATATTGAAATATCTTTTTCGGGAATAATAAACAAAGTTATTTAATATATTGAAAAATAAATAAACCTTTGTGATTTGTAAAATTATAAATACTATTTTAGTCATTTCATCAAATATACAATTTTTTAAGAATACATTTTTTGACAAAATATTAATATACTCCGGCACTTGACAACAAATTCTTACGTTATTTTTGAAATCTACATAAAATTTTTATCTCACTCTATCAAGTAGGTATTTGCGACAAAGTCCGCAGAGAACATTTACATGTGAAATCATAACAATCACATGACCTTGAAAATACAGAAAAACATGTATCATTTTTACAAACAGATTAGATATCAATTTAGAATCCCTTTTAATTATAGGGTTGATGTATGCATTATTATGATAATAATCAATTCTTATATTAATTCGTTAAGAAGTATTTACTTCATTTTATAATTGCAACTACTTTGGGACCGTCCATAAACTACGTTACCAATTTTTCATACTTTTTAGATCTCCTCCTCCCCTAAAATAGGTAACGTAGTTTATGGACGGCCCCTTTAGGCAAAATAATTTTTAAAAAAAACTTTTTAACGATTTCAAAACTTGTTTAAAAAAGAAATTTAAAAGAGCAAGGCAACAATAATTCTTTTTAATTTTTTTTACGTTTCTATATTTTTATTACAAGAAACATAAAATCCAAAGTCAACAATATTTAATAATAATCTTCGGAATGAAGTAAAAATATTTTTTTGCATTTTTTAACGAGTTTAAAACTTTTCTTTTATGGAAAAATTACAATGCAGCCAAAATAATAATACTTCCAATTTTTTCAACATGTTTTCATTTTTTTTCTATCGATAATTTTAATTTATTAGCAAAATAATAATATTCGTCATTTACTATATTAGTTGATATCAAATTTATAATCAGCATCCTCCAAAACTCCCGAGTAACAAGTTTCAAATTATTCCATTAAAATCATTGTCTAAATAAACATTTTGTTTTGTAACCTTTAATATTAAATTATTTAATTTGTTTATAAAATATGAACTTTTATCCGTTTAATTTTATTTCGTTTAGGAAAGCAATGTTTTGAATAGACAAATGAACTTCATTATTACTTGCATTCTTCTATTGGCCTGAGTAGATCCGCCAGTTAGCGAAATGCCTAGGCAGTTAGCTATCAGCCTAAATCATTTTAGGCCATTAGAAAATATGAAACTTTCTTACTGAAATAATCGAGAAAGGAAATTAACAAACTACGAAATATTTTTTCAGGGTGCATTAATTATTTTATTTTTAAAAAATTTATTTATTTGAGCAAGGCAGACTCTGGTGGCAGCGAGAATTGCACAAAGTGCCAGATTTAAAACAAATACAACGTTTCGTTTTACATTGCAATTCTCAACGGTCGCGAAATGAAAACTAATAATACTTATTTATAATATTCTACTATTCGAATTAATCAATTTAAATACAATATCGTTACAAACAGAGAACAAATAATTTTGAAAAGAGAAACAAAAACAACACTGTCAAATGAAACACGAGAAATCCAAGATTACAAATTTATAATCTAGGCGGATTCCTTTTAAACTACGAAAGTTGTTTGAAACTCACAAAAATGATTAAAATTATTATTATTTATTATTATTATTTATTATTATTTCAGTAAGAAAGTTTCATATTTTCTAATGGCCTAAAATGATTTAGGCTGATAGCTAACTGCCTAGGCATTTCGCTAACTGGCGGATCTACTCAGGCCAATAGAAGAATGCAAGTAATAATGAAGTTCATTTGTCTATTCGGCGCCGGTTAGCTAACCGCCTAGCCAGTTAGCTAACTGGTGAAATCTTCTAATGGCCTACGACATATATAAACTATGATGAAGTAATGGGGGAAGAGAATTTTGATGAAGATAGGATAATAGCTCCAGGAGCATAAAATTGTTAAAATATTACAAATTATGAAGAAATAAATTTTTTTCTCACTATAAATGAATAAATTTATTTATAAATAAAAAAAATTCATTCGTTAATAAAGTGGCATTGATGGAGTCAAATTTTGCAAATTTTTTCTAAAAAATTTTAGTTAATTTTTTTTTCCTCTTTTTGCCAATTAAAATTTAATTTTTTTATACTAATTAAAATTTTTTTTGTTAAAAAAAATTCATTTGTTTAAGGGGGAATTGAAATGGTATTTCAATAGTCAAAAATTTAATTATAAAATTAATAGAAAAATTATAAATTAATAAATATTAAAAATAAAATAATATAGAGAAATGAATTTAAAACTAGTTCCACACGGGAAGAAATAAATATTCAGGAAAATGATGAAAATGAAAATTTCAATATGGAAAGAATAAAATTCATTGGTATGGTTAAATAAAAATTTCAATACTAAAATGAAGTTTTGATTTTTTTATAAACATGTATATATTTAAATAAATAAATAAATTTATTTATTTAAATTTTAATAAATCGATTCTATTGCAGTGGGTTTTAGATAAACAATAAAAAATTATTATTTAAACGAAATGTTTAAAAATTGATTTTGTTAATTTTATTTTGTACGCTTTTACTGCTTTAAAATTTTAGTTTCAAAAATGTAAATTTTTATATTTTAAAAGATATTATTTTTACTTTTTACATATTTCAATATCGCAAATGTTAAAAGCAGGAAGCAATAAAAATCGTTACTAAGTTAAAATATAAATTTTTTTTGACGCATATTTTAAACTATTTTTACTGCTTTAAAATTTTAACTTGATTAACATCTCAAGTACAAAATGTTATTGAGCCAATTGTTTGCTGTATTTATTTTTTTTCAATTATTGAAATATTCTATTGCTTTATAAGATATTATTTTTCTAATGTGTAAATGTTAAGAATAGAAGAAAAGAATGAGAGAAAAGTTCTTAACTTTATAACTTTGATAAGTATGTTATATTTTTTTTTATGTGCGAAGCGCATGTCTTTAAATAGTCTTTATACCCATTGCAAATAATGTCATTCGCATATTTGTGTTGAATTCGCATTAGGTAAGAAACATTTTTATTTTTTCGAATTTTTTCTTATGCAAAAATAAATTTTTTTCTTAAAAAAAGAAATATAATATAAAATTTATTTTTATTCAAAGGTTTCAAACATGGCTTTAGTTTCTATTTCGAAATATCTAAAACCACCACGTTTGTGCCTTTAGACTAAAAAGTACTAAATTAAATGTTAATATTGATAACCATTGTGTTTACAGTAGTTTATTAACACAACAGCATCATTTGAAATAGAATTCTCAAATTCTGGTTTTGTATTCTTTTTAATTTTTGTAAAAATGGCTCATTTCAAAAAATGTCTGCTCTTATTTTTCTGTACACTTGTCCATTTAAACGGACAGCCTGATACGAGCAGGGATGAGAGTAATGAAAATTCTCCGGTAAGTTTTGTTAATAATAATTAATAGTAAATTATTTAAAAATTCAACTTCCGTTAATGCAAATTGTAATGAACGTTTGAAAATTTAAATGTAAATATTTGTTTAAATTTATCGAAGGTCGATAAATGAGATATCGATAGATCGAAAGCGTCACGTAGTACTTGTTTACGACACGCGCGCTGCAGTAGCAATCCCCACTAAAATCTCGCGCATGCGCTTCACCGAACCAAGCGCTTTTAAAAGTCGCGCACCAGGTGAGAATCTTCACTTCTACCGGTCTTACCGTAGTAGTAATTTCTAAGCGGTTTTACCGTAGTAAATTCTTTTGTAAAGTGGTCTTACCACTTAGAATCTTTTGGAAGCTGTTTTGCTCTTAGTTTTAAAGTTATAATAATTTATTTATTTATTTTATTTATTTATTTGGAACATAACGGGACATGCCCTTTCGTACAAAAGTACTCCTAAATCTAAAAATTACAATACTATATTTTACTAAATCTAGGTAGCCACTTAAGAAAAGATATTTAAGTTTTCGTTTAGCAAGATATTACGTAATGATGATGTGAATCGTGTGACATTATTATCAAAGAAATTAATATCGTTAGAAATCATGTTTGCCTCTCTGCTAAGTCTAGCAATCAATGAGTTATTACCATAATTAGTTCTGTGAAATGCCACCGAAAACAATGTATATCGCCTAGAAAACATTCTGGGCACTGATAAATTTATCATAGAGAGAAGTGAAGGACAAAAGATAGCTCCATTCATAAGTCTATACAAAAAAGCCATATCTGCAAAGTAGAACCGTGAATTTAACAATGGTATATTTAATACCGATCTAAGTTCCCTGTAATCATGTGTATGCACGTCAAAGGGGATATTGAGCAATCTCGCAGCAAATCTAAGAAATTTGTTCTGAACACGTTCAATTCTGATTATATGGAAGACATAGAAAGGTGCCCAATTGATACATGCATATTCTATAATTATTCTGACAAGCGTCAGGTATAAAGTCCTGATGGTTAACATGTTATGAAAAACAGAGGCACATCTCATTATAAAACCCAAGACTTTAGAGGCTTTTGAAACAGTCTCAGTAATATGATCATTAAATACTAAATTACTATTAAATACAACACCCAAATCACGCACCCTCTTTACTCTCTCCAAAATATGACCATCAATGTTTAAATATAAATTTACACTTTTTTTCGAAAAGGTTACAACAAAACTCTTTTTAATGTTTATACTTAAATGATTTTTAACACACCATTTTTGGAGTCTTTTTAAGTCTTTTTGTAACTTCAAAATATCTTTTTGAAAGGTAGACGGATGAATCACTTTATAACACTTGAGGTCGTCAGCATAAAGTAAGAACGAGGAGTACCTGAATATTTGCTTAAGGCCAGGTCCAAGTCGAGTCAGCTGTTCCTTTGAAGTTTCAATGGAACAGCTGACACGACTTGGACCTGGCCTTAATATTATTCATATATAAAATGAACATTAAGGGACCTAGGTGTGATCCCTGTGATACCCCAGAGGTTGCTAGAAAAGGATCGCTAAATTCACCACCAACCCTTACCACCTGATACCTGTCAGAAAGATAATTTTTGAAAAAAAGAACAATGTTGTCAGAAATGCCTAGTGATTTCAATTTATTTATAATTATATTATGGTCCACCTTATCAAACGCCTTCGATATATCAGCATAGATAACATCGACTTGCAATCCCTTTTCTAATTTTTCTGTTAAAAAGGTTGTAAAAATACCCAAATTTGTTACAGTGGATCTACCCCTGACGAAACCATGCTGTTCATCAATTATAGCTTCAGAGACCGATGTATAAAAATTATCATAAATTACACTCTCAAATATTTTTGCAAAAACACTTAAAATTGTTATAGGCCTATAGTTCTGGGTATTATTTTTATTATCAGACTTATAAACTGGAGTTATCATTCCCTTCTTCCATTCATATGGAAAAACACAATATTTTAGCGATTTATTAAAAATTATAAACAAATTATAAATTATCATTATAAATAATGATCTTATACGTCGAAAGATCACGTTTGTAAATAGTCTCCGCGTAATTGTTTGTATTGTAATCGTTTTGTCGTTTAGAAATGTTTATTTTTTGTAAATAATCTGATTTCTTTCAATGTCTAATTATCGTTTATTTTGTAAATAAATATGTAAATCTGTAATTCATTATGTTAAAAATTATTAAATCGGACCCTGACACTACGAGCTATTTAAAAATTTAATAACAATCATTACAAAATGTTTCTAACTTGGGAGGTAGTTTTGGTTTTCTATACACTGCAAAAAAAAAAATGTTTTCAGTTTGATTTAATTCTTTTTCAATTAAATTTATACTCCACATTTATAAAATTAATTTCATTTAGTCATCTCCTAAGGATTATATACCTCGAGTAATAATACGAAGCATACAGGAAGTGGAAAAAAGAGGAATGAAAGAAGAAGAAATCTACTTGAAGAAATATGAGCCAAAAATAGTAAACGAGTTGATGAAAATGATGTATCAAAATTCTCTCCTTTTATCTGAAATTAACATTCATTTATTTGCCGCATGTGTTGTCAACAATATTGTCGAGTTAATTTAATTTACATATTATTCGCAACGTCTTAATAAATAAATTGTATTTTAAAGGACCATTCTTTAAAAATATTTTTTTAATTTCAGGAAATTTAATAATGGTCTAATTCCTGAAGTGAATCTGTGCAAAGAAGCTTCAGAAGCTGTTGAAAATAATAATAAGAATTTATTGCGTAAAGTAGTTTCAAAGCTTCCGAATAAAAATAAATACACTATCGCATTTCTCATGTGCCATTTACTACGAGTTATACGAGATGACATTAATAAAGAACATTTACTTGCTCTATTGTTTGCAAAAAATTTATTTAATGGAGAATATAATAAAATAAAGTCCATGGATATCGTACAATCCAGAAATATTGCTATTAAAGTACTTAAATTTTCAACATTTTTTAAATTCATTAAAATCAATTACTTTCACAATTTTTAATTAAATATTATATCTTACATTTTTTTCTCAATTATTTATTTTTGTAGGTTTTTATAAAATTTTTGAATCTTGGATACCAATACTGGGATGAAATTATTAATTATGCTTCTATTGTGAGTATTACAAACTTAAACGCAAAAGTAATCAGCTACAGAAAATTAATTTAAGTTATACTCCATTGTAAAATTAAAATTATATTTATAAAAATACTTAAGAAGCTTCTATCGTAAAGAGAATTAATATTACTATTTTAATGAAATTTGAAAAAATTATGATCGATTTCTCCACATAACCTCACTTTTTTGGGAACTTTATCATTTTAACATAGTATAAGTCAAATTACAAAAGTAATGTTTTCTATTTTGACTAGTCAGTCAAGCGATAGAATCTTCTATATAAATGTAACAAATTCCTAAAATATTAGCTTATCATTTAAATAAAATTTGTATAAAGTATAGTGAGGGAGGGAGTTTTGACGTTTTATGACAAATATTTTTGAATAAGAACTCATAATTTTTTGCAGTAAAAATATAATATATTTTTTCCTTTCTTATCGTAAAAAACAGATTAAGTTAGATTGGTTAACATCCTTATTTGATGAAGACAAACTAAACGATTCCTTTTTTGGGGGAAAGGTAAAAATTATTTAATATTTTTGTTTTTAATTAATTTAATTTAAATTTTGAAATTCACTTTTTAAAAATTTAATATTTGAAATAATAGTTTATTTTGAACATTTTTTTTTGTTTAATTGTCAAAAAAGCTATCGAAAATTATTGTCGAAGTGGAAACTTCGGAGTATTCTTTTGCTAAAATTTTAGTAAAGGTTGTATAAAAATATTCGCATACTATAAGTAAATGTTTGACCAACTTTACTGAGTTTCGCAAATCAATTAATACAGTCGGAAGTTTTTACTAAATGTTCAGAAAATTTTCGTTGCCATGTGGAATTCTTTCTTAAAAAATAAAAATTATATTTCATTATTTAGTTTCGCTCTTCAAAATCATCATTTGAAAGCGACATTGAACCACAATCGCCGTATCCTGAACGTAATAACGATTTATCAACTTTTAATGAAAAATAAATAAAAATGAACCATTGTATTTGTTAATATTTCAAGTATTATTTATTATGTAAATTACTTGTCAATTAATAAAAATTTATGTCTTGTTGACATATTTGAAGTCAAATTAAAAAAATTAATTATGTGTTTTTTTATTGAAATACTGAGAACCACATTCGCTCCACATTAGACATGTATAGGGATTTTTCTCGTTCACGAATTAAAAATTATTGAATTTTTATTTATCCGAATTTTATGTAGTAGATTTTACAATAAGCCGAATTTTTAAATAGAAAAATTTTTATATTTAATTAAATTTTGATTTAATATAATTTCCATTTAACTGTCAAATAATGTAATTTCCATGGGTGCGGCCCATGGATAATTCTTGAGCAAAGAGAAGGAAATTTCTACATGGAAATAGTAATAAAGATAATTTAATTTAATTCATAATTTAATTATTTTTGTTTATTTTAAATTTACAAACAAATTCATTTAATTTTTAAATTTAAATTTTCATTTCGAATGAATATCTATGCAACAATAATATAAAGTTTTATGTTAGAGGAATTAGAGATAGGGAATAATTATAAGTTCATAGATTAGGAAAAATTAATAGTAATTAAAAATTTTAATTAAATAATTATGACATAACACCCGCGTTAAATTAATATTTAGTGTTGGTAAGGTAGAAAACCATATTTTCCAAATTGCAAGGTAAAATTACCAATAGTTTTATGTATTAACAGTTTAAATCTATCGTTTCTTTAATAAATTTATTTTTGTTTCTAATTTAATTTTCCATCTTTTTTGAATTTATTTAATTGCTTTTTCTTGATTAAAAGCTCTACAAAAGTCGTCCGCTTCAGTGAGTTTACAATTTGATTTAATTTTTATACACTTTAAAAAAAATTAGGGAGTTAACGTTACTGGGAGTTAAAATTTTCGAGTTAAAAATCAACTCAAAAAGGGAGTTAATAATTAAATTAACTCCTTAAAACCAACTCCCTAGGCATAAAATTAACTCGTAAAGCATTAACTTTCTTCGCTTCAACTCCACAAGGGTGGAACTTTTATAGCGTCCCCTAGGGAGTTGAAATTCAACTCCTTTTTTTTTTACAGTGTAAAACCTAATTCTCATTTGGCCTAATTTTACTTTATCCTAATTGTTAGCCAAGTAATAATTAGGTCAAATAAAAATGAGGCTAAAAAAGTATTAGATTACAGAAAATTTAGGCCAAATGAGATTTATAGGGCAAATAAATATTACCTTAAATAAGAATTAGTTTAAATTAAGATTATGCCAAATGAGAATTAGGATAAATGAAGATTAGTACAAATGAGAATTCGATTGAATGAAGATAAGAATAAATAATAATTATGTCATATACAGATTAGGCCAAGTAATAATTAGTCCCAACGACTTTTAGAGCAATTGAATTCAATTAAGTTTTAGGACATTTACAAATTATAATCAATATAGTAAATTTAACACATTATATTGAGAAACAATTTTTTATTCACATAATACAAAATTATATTTTTAGAGTTGCAATATTAAAATCTTAATATTTTGCTAAAGAAATTTCTCCTTGATGTAACTTCATAAATGATTCAACTGCATCTCCTTGAATACAACCGCCTTTACAATTGCAACCAAACATATTACAAGAACCTTTGCCACAAAAAGTTCCTTTTATTACTGCCTTACCATCGCCACATACCTTGATTTTACATGCTCCAGGATCTGTCTTATCAAATCGTGATGCCCCATTTCCATTCTGATAATCCTCACAATTTTTGTAGTATGAATAAAAGGTAATTTGTTTTTTATAACAGCATTCCGCATTGCTCAAATGGGGAAATAAAGAAAATGTCACAATTAATAATGAAAAACATAATTTAAACATTTTTCACTGACATTTAACTGCGGTTGATTATATTTTATTGTATAGATTTTGGACTTGTAGCCAAATATGTATGTAAAAGTAAATTCTTGTACTGTGAATTTTTGGCAGATGTGTAATTTTACGGTAGTTGTATTGCTTTTATATTGCCCAACATGAGGAAATAAATTAATTCATTATGTATTTCTAGGAAACGGAAATCATTTTCAACTGTTAAACAAATACTATTTTTCTTGACAATTTCTGTTTAAATTGTCACCGTATTTACGGATTTAGAACATGTGTATCGTTAATTATCGATTCAAACACTTGTACGGAAGTTAATACTCATTATTGTATTGTACTATTTGATATAGATTAGAACATTGACTTTTAAAAAATTTCCGAAAGTCAAAATATACAAGTTTCTATTGAATGTGACGATTTACATGTTTAGATCATATCAAGTTAAACAATTTTTGACAAATATATCCTATGTGCTTTTTGTTAAAATCATGTTTTTTTTCATTTATTTTAATAATTATTATCAATTACGGTGACCAAAATTACGTGTATTTTGAAAATACTTTACCCACCGTAATTGAAGCCAATGGAAATCTTAAAAATGTTTCAATTACGGCGAGGGAAAAAATTTGATCTCAAATAATTTAATTAATAATTGTTTAAATGTGCATTTTTATTAGTAATTGTATCAAAAAAAGAAAAAAATAATTTTTTTAAAATCATTTTGCAACAGTTCTATTAAGTAGGGGAGAGTAGTGAGGGTTGGACAGTGGTCAGGGTTGAGCCATCGCGTTTATTTTGTTTTATCACACTAGATCCATCTGTCTTATTGTATGTAAGTAGTTGTTAGCAATGTCAGCGAACTTTTCACATACATTGTAGTGAAGTGTGCGAACAATAAAGACGTATTATGCCAGTCAGTGCTGTACGCTCAACAAAAAACTTTTTTCTTGTTTCAAAAGAAGATAATTAAGTGCAGAAAAAATATGTCAAAGACAAAGTAACTTGACTTAAATTGTTCATTAAGATGTTTTATGAAAATGTGGAACGTAATATAGTGTTTGGATAACGCGCTTATTTTTGTGTGTGATGTGACGCTAAACGACGCGTGAGTAAGGGTTGAGCCACCCCAAAAATTTTGCAATTATGAAGGGTTCTTGCAATGGAAATTCATTTATCGATTAAAAGTGGTGTCAAAAATTTCATTTCCATTGGAATGAAAGAAAATATAAATTTTTGATATTTTTTTTTCACTTTTCAGACCAGCTTCCCGATACAAGCGAAAATCTGAAAATTACATAATAAGGCCTTTTTATTTCAATTTCGTGGTTCCTTTACACATTTCCAAGTGTATTTGAGCATATTTCACTAATTTTCTACAGTGGCTCAAACCTGACTACCCTGACTACTATTTTTTCTTTTTTTTTAATTGACTATAACTCCAAAACTTTTGGTCAAATATTTTTACAATGTTTAGCAAAAACATTACATTTTAGTAGATCTTTCGAACCATATGCGAGAAATCTCAAAATTCGGCCTACAGGGAAAGTTTTAGAGAAAAGTCAATGTCCAACCCTGACTACACTCCCCTATAATAGTAATAATAGTTATTTTTTATGAACGCGCCGTAATTGATGCACTCATCGTCGTAATATTGATGAACTTACCCTAAGTTATAATAAAAAATTATTTATGAAAATTTTGCTAGACGTAAATTCCATATTAGTACAACAAAATTTCACTGTTTTATGTCTGATGTTAAAAAATAACTTTTGATACAAAGAAAATTTATTTATTTCATTAACAAATTATCTTTAATTCGAAAAAAAATATCTTCATTTTAAGGAGGTACCATCTATTATCGAATAAACAAGCAGTTTTTGGTAAAACTTGATACACTACTAAATAAAGCTTCTAAAATTCTGTAGTTAAATTTTTGAGACCTGTAGGTTCCGGAGAAAAAAGTTCTGATCGATTTATTTTTTCACTGTTTAACATTGATTCTTATGGGAATTCATTACTTTGTCACATATATTTTCATAGTATGAAATATTAAACAAACAGATGTTGATCAAAGTTTGTATAGTTAAAGACAGATATGCAATGAACCGGTATTGTATTTAAAAAAGGACAATAGGTTCCTGTGAGAGTTCAAAATAGTTCATTTATAAATTTTTTTTCCACTTTTTGTGATACAGAAAAGATAACTTGAAACATCTGGCAACACGGCATTTCGCGTCTTCACGGTTTCCACCGTGCGCGTGCGCTTGTTAAAGTTTTGAGGTTATGCGCGCGTTATTTCAAATTTTGATTTCTGGGAAAAGAATAAAATGTTCAAATTAAAAACTGAAATTCTATTAGTTAATAAAATTTTTATTATTAACTTGAAAAATATGACAAACACATAATATTTTTAGAAATTAAAGCTTATAATTAAAATAAATCATGGAAAAACAAAACAACAGTTGTTGACAACGTACATAACGTGAGTTGCAGTGTTGCCAGACGTTTCAAAATACCGAGCAAGTCAAATCAGACAAAAATGGTTATTGCTTTGACTAGTTCAGTGAAGGGATGGAACCTCCTTAAAGAAATTTTTTATTTATAAATCAAATAAATGTTTCTTTGATCCTAATATCAATGTTAGAAATTCTTTGAACAAATTTTTTTTCATTCAAAGGAAATTTCTTTTAATCAAAGAAACTTTCTTTAAAACTATGAAGTTTTTTTTTGTTTCAAAGAAAATTTTATTTTGAATGAAAAAAAAACAAAGTCAAAGAAATTGGTTTTTTTAAATCAAAGAAATCTTTTCTCTGTTAAAAATTTGTCAAATTTGAAAAAATGATAATTTAAACGAGATTTAAATTGTAAATTCCAGAAATAGTTTTTTAACATAACTAAAAATATATTTAAAATTGATTTTACACAAATTCGAAAGACCCAGTTGTACAATTTTCGAAAAAAAATTATTTTGAATTAAAATTTGTTGTTTAATATAATAATTAATAAAAATTTTGTGTTTTTGTTAAATAATCGTTTGTTTAAAAAAACAAATTTTTCTATATTAACTTTTAAATAAAATATTGTTAATGAAATTCAATAATAAACAGAATTATAGAAAATCTTTCGAAGAGCAAAATGAGCTATTACTATTTGCAAGAATTGAATAAAAATTACAATTGTTCAACAACTTTAAACAAAAAATATAAAAAGTGAAATAATTTTAAATTAACAAGAAATTTTCGCGCAAAATAATTTATTTTGAAAATTGTACAACTGAATCTTTCAAAATTTGATAAAATTAATTTTATTTATATATTTATTTTTTGTTAAAAACAACTTTTTAGTTTGAGATTATGTTAATGGGCTAAGCATCTTTAATACATTTTGACAGTTAACAGTTTGTTAAAAAAGATGACAACTTCTATAAAATGAAGTTTTTTAAAAAGTTTCATATTAATTATAACAAAAAAAAAACGTTTTTGTAGCATTTTTACCAAAAAAAAAATTTTGTTCCAAATTAAAAAACCGAAAAGTACCCTAAAAACATCGTTTTTTAAATTTTCAAGGTTTGCTCGGAATTGTAGGGTGAAAGTGCAATTCTCTGTTAACGGATTCGTGTTTAGCATCAAAAATCTTATATAGGAATCGTCCTAAGAAAAATCACAAATAAAAAAAGTAAAATTTTGTTGTACTATGGAATTTACGCGTCTAGAAAAATATCCAAAAAAAAGCCCGTACATTGTAATTAAATAAATAAATAAATAATTTTTTATTACAACTTAAAAATTTGGCTAAAAATTATGAAAATTTGTTTTTTAAAAATAAAATTATAATCTAGAATGATAGATAATTTATTTTCCTTTTAACTCGTATATAATTAAAAATACACTTTTACAAATCGCCAATAAAAAAAAAATTATTTCCTTAAAAATTTATTTTAATAAAACTCATAAATATTTTATTCAAATAAATGAAAAAAAAATAATTTTAACAATAGGCATATAAATATATTTGTCAAAAATTGTTTAACTTGATATGACCTCAACATGTAAATCGTCATAATTCAATAGAAACTTGTATATTTTGACTTTCGGAAGTTTTTAAAAGTCAATATTCTAATCTATTAAATATGTAGTAAAATACAATAATGAGTATTAACTTCTGTACAAGTGTTTGAATCGATAATTAACGATACACATGTTCTAAATCCGTAAATACGGTGACAATTTAAACAAAAATTGTCAAAAAAATAGTGTTTGTTTAACAGTTGAACATTATTTCCGTTTCCTAGAAATACATATCTGTCTTTAACTATACAAACTTTGATCAACATCTGTTTGTTTAATATTTCATAGTATGAAAATATATGTGACAAAGTAATGAATTCCCATAAGAATCAATGTTAAACAGTGAAAAAATAAATCGATCAGAACTTTTTTCTCCGGAACCTACAGGTCTCAAAAATTTAACTACAGAATTTTAGAAGCTTTATTTAGTAGTGTATCAAGTTTTACCAAAAACTGCTTGTTTATTCGATAATAGGTGGTACCTCCTTAAAAAGTGTCGAATGTAAAAAGTAATACAAAATTTAATAAAATTTACTATGGCATTATAAAATTTAGAAATCCTAAAGCAATTTTTATTACATCTGTAGCAATTTTTAAACACACTATTGTAATAATTACTATTAGTAATTTTTACTACCAGAAATAGTAATATTTACTCATGCTCAGTAAATTTTACAATTAATAGAAATTTTTACTAGTAAAGTATAATTATTACTATTCCATAGGAATTTTTACTATAATCTCAGCAACATTTTTCTCCGTGCAGTCAACAAACTTTTATTAGCATTAGCAGACATGTAAATTTAACACATTATATTGAGCATCATTTTCTTTATTTACAAAATTTTTTACATATATATTTAATGAAGAAATTTTGTTGAATCGCAGTTATTCTACATCACGGAGATTAGAAATTTTTCCATCATTTAACTTCTGAAATGATTCAAGTGGATTTCCTTGAATACAACCGCCGTCACAATTGCAACCAAAAATATTGCAAGCACCTTTGCCACAATAAGTTCCCTCGGTTACTGGCGTTCCATCGCCACATACATCAATGTGACAACTTTTACCGTACGTAATCCAGTACTGAAGATTCACTAATCTGGATGCTTTCTGTTCTGCACCGGGGAAATCCGTACAAGCATAGTTTCCTGAGTAAAAGTAAAGTCTTGTTTTTTTACAGCAATCCGCATGACTCAGGTGTGGAAATGAAGAAAGTGTTACTAATAATAATAAAGAGCAGAATTTAAACATTTTTCCCTGATATATATATAACTGCAGTTGGATATATTTTATAGATTTTGGACTTATAGCCGAATATGTATATTAAGTAAATTCTTGTACTGAGAACTCTTGGCAGATGTCTAATTTTTTTACGGTAGTTGTAGCTTTTATATTGCCAAAAATGCAGAGAAAAATTAATTAATTATGTATTTCTAGGCGACGCAAATTATTTTCGACACTTAAACAAACACTATTTTTCGACGATAGTTGTGGCATTTTCTGTTTACATGCGGTCAGCGTATTTACAAATTTAGATCATTTCTGACGTAAATTATCGATTGTAACACTTGTAAGAAAGTCAGTACTTATTGTATTTTACTATTTGATAGATTAATATTGACTTTTAAAAAATTGCGAAATTCAAGATTTAAATGTTTCTATTGGACGTTACGATATTAACATGTTGACGTCACTTCGTGGCAAACAATTTTTGATAAATATATCTATATGTTTTTTGTTAAAATCATGTTTTATTTATGAAATTTTTTTTATATATGAAATAAATTTTTAAGGAAATATTTTTTTTTTTGTTATCTTTGTCGATCTGTAAAAGTATATTTAAAATTATGTACAAGTTTAATGTAAAATAAATGTTATATTTTTCTAGATATTTTTTTTATTTATAAAAAATAATTTTACATTGAATTTTAGCAAATTTATAAAACAATTTATTTTACTTTATTATGGGAAAAACTATAAGATAACTAAAAAAAAAATGACACAAGTGAATGTTTTGAAAAATTTTTAAATTTATTTCATTTTTATTAATAAAAAAAAAAATTTACAAGTATTTTTTAGTTATATTTTGAAATCGTGAGTTTCGTTTATGCAAAGCTAACGCAGTTGTCATAAAAGCACACATTTTAAAAATTACAAGCTTTGTATGTCAAATAATGTAAGTGATACAAAGAGCAGGCGAACATTTTTGTAGTAAAAATTGAGAAAACTGTTTCTCCTTGTTTCACTTATATTATTTGCATTACAAAGCTTATATTTTTTATACATATGTACTTTTATGGCAAAGAAGTTCGCTTTGTTTACGGAACCCTCAATTTTAATGCTGTAGTATAACTGCCGAATACTATATTTTATCTTTCTAGGTCAAAAATTATAAAAATTATTGAGAGTTACCACTTTTATTTTGAATTCTTTAAATTTAAATAATGCCATGATGTTATATATTTTTTTTTCTCGCATCATTTGGGTTCTGTAAACATACAGGATGATCAAAAAACAAAATTTTAATTTTTGATACAGCGATGTTTTTACTCATGTTTTTCTTTCTTTTTTGAAAACATTGAAATTTTTGAAAAATACGAGAGATTTTCTAAGAATCAATAAAAAAAGCGTGGAATAAAATTGTCTATAAAAAATATTTAAAATTGTTTAAACAAATTTTAAAATACAAACTCATGTACATGAACCTTCACAGGATTCCATGCAGGAACCTTTGTTGCTGAATTTTAAAAACTTTACTTGTTGTGCAATAACTAATAAGTTTCTATGACTATTCTGTAATATAGAAAATCGTTTTGGTGAAAATTCTGTAAAATACTAATTCGAAAAAATAAAAATTCGGCTCAAAAATAATTATGACAAATAAAATTCGTTAAAATGAAAATTCTAACTAATGATTTTTAAAACATAATCATGCGACCCGTATAGTTTGTATAGGGTAAGGTGGGGTATTGGGAGCTTTTTAATTTCAAGTATACATTGAGACTTTGAATTTCGCGGAAATAATTCGGAAAACTTGGACAGTTTTCCTGTATGTCATACCAAGACAAATGGTCACATTTCTGAAAGATTTGTAGAAACTACAAGGAAAAATGAAGTTTTCGAATTTTTCTTCCTAAATGGAAAATATTTCTGAAGATCAAATTAAATAGTTAAAAATTTATTATTTAATTATGTTTTGTGATTTTATTAGAGATAAATATACACGGAAAGAAATCTTGTTAGAATATTTAATAAATCTGAATAGAAATTTTGATATTTTTGTTTTTCAATTGCAAAACATTCTGGTTTGATAATAAAAGTTGGTATAGTTTTACGAATACCTTTAACTGAAAACATTTTACAAAAACAGAAATTATTATTTCTTAATTCAAATTTATTATTATTAATTTATTATTAAAACAAAAATACTTTTATATTACAATTATTCTAAATATTATTGAATTACGCAAAAAATTATAAAGTGTCCGAAGTTACCCACCCTTGGTGGCTAAAAAATGAAATAAATTTAAAAATTTTTCAAAACATTCACTTGTGTCATTTTTCTTTTAGTTATCTTATAGTTTTTCCCATAATAAAGTAAAATAAATTTTTTTATAAATTTGCTAAAATTCAATGTAAAATTATTTTTTATATAAATAAAAAAAATATCTGGAAAAATATAACATTTATTTTACATTAAACTTGTACATAATTTTAAATATACTTTTACAGATCGACAAAGATAACAAAAAAAAAAATTCCTTAAAAATTTATTTCATATATAAACTTTTAAATATTTAAAAAAAATAAATAAAACATGATTTTAACAAAAAACATATATAAATATATTTATAAAAAATTGTTTGCCACGAAGTGACGTCAACATGTTAATATCGTAACGTCCAATAGAAACATTTAAATCTTGAATTTCGCAATTTTTTAAAAGTCAATATTAATCTATCAAATAGTAAAATACAATAAGTATTGACTTTCATACAAGTGTTACAATCGATAATTTACGTCAGAAATGATCTAAATTTGTAAATACGCTGACCGCATGTAAACAGAAAATGCCACAACTATCGTCGGAAAATAGTGTTTGTTTAAGTGTCGAAAATAATTTGCGTCGCCTAGAAATACATAATTAATTAATTTTTCTCTGCATTTTTGGCAATATAAAAGCTACAACTACCGTAAAAAAATTAGACATCTGCCAAGAGTTCTCAGTACAAGAATTTACTTAATATACATATTCGGCTATAAGTCCAAAATCTATAAAATATATCCAACTGCAGTTATATATATATCAGGGAAAAATGTTTAAATTCTGCTCTTTATTATTATTAGTAACACTTTCTTCATTTCCACACCTGAGTCATGCGGATTGCTGTAAAAAAACAAGACTTTACTTTTACTCAGGAAACTATGCTTGTACGGATTTCCCCGGTGCAGAACAGAAAGCATCCAGATTAGTGAATCTTCAGTACTGGATTACGTACGGTAAAAGTTGTCACATTGATGTATGTGGCGATGGAACGCCAGTAACCGAGGGAACTTATTGTGGCAAAGGTGCTTGCAATATTTTTGGTTGCAATTGTGACGGAGGTTGTATTCAAGGAAATCCACTTGAATCATTTCAGAAGTTAAATGATGGAAAAATTTCTAATCTCCGTGATGTAGAATAACTGCGATTCAACAAAATTTCTTCATTAAATATATGTAAAAAATTTTGTAAATAAAAAAAATTATGCTCAATATAATGTGTTAAATTTACATGTCTGCTAATGCTAATAAAAGTTTGTTGACTGCACGGAGAAAAATTTTGCTGAGATTATAGTAAAAATTCCTATGGTATAGTAATAATTATACTTTACTAGTAAAAATTTCTATTAATTGTAAAATTTACTAAGCATGAGTAAATATTACTATTTCTGGTATTAAAAATTACTAATAGTAATTATTACAATAGTGTGTTTAAAAATTGCTACAGATGTAATAAAAATTGCTTTAGGATTTCTAAATTTTATAATGCCATAGTAAATTTTATTAAATTTTGTATTACTTTTTACATTCGACACTTTTTAAATATTACTCGTAGAAATTCTAATAAGTAATACTGCGAAATATAAAAATTGCTACTGCAAGGAACAACTTTTACTATTGCAGATGAAACTTTTTACTCGAAAAATAGTAATCCGTACTACTACTACTATACACCTGTGTGTGTGTGTGTGTTTGTGCATCCCTTTTTTGTTTAGAAGATAACTCTAACAGGTTGTAATGGATTTAGATAAAATTTGGTAGGCTTATTAAAAAAAAATTTAAAAAAAAAAAATTTTTTGCAACACTAACCTCTAAAGTTAAATTTTACACACCGAAAATTGTGTGTAAAGAAGCTCTTTTTCAAACGGTGTGTAAAGTGATTCACTTTACGCACTGAAATTTACTTTACGCACTGAAATATTACTTTACATACTGAAATTTACTTTACCCACCGAAATTTCTCTCACATAATATAAGGATTGTTTTAAACCATACAAAACCACAAAATTAAAAAACGAACTTTACTATTAAATTTATACACTCCTGCTTAATGATATTTTTCCTGATCTTCGATTGATTTTTTTAATTCTATACAATCGAAATTATTCTAATAGAAAGTTGGAATTCTTCATAATAGGTACTTAACTTTAGAGGTGGGTGTTGCAAAAAATGTTGTATGATACACGTGCGTAAATCTGATTATACTCGTGTGATTTGCTGCAAACGTCACACTCATATAATCACTCACTTTACGCACTTGTATCATAAATAACTATTATCGTCTTTTTTTCAAAAAATTTTTTTTTAATCGAAAAAATTTTTAAATAGAAAAATTTAAGGTTATATATAATAAAATCGTATTCCTTACGTCAAGACAAATCGATCAGTATATATAAAGTATAGTTTTAATTTAAATTTAAAGAATTAATGAAAGTTAAAAAATCAAAAATTCACATTTTGGCTATAAAATTTTGTGATTATTTAAATTTAAATTTATAGATGAAACATAATTGTATTCCTTACATGAAAACGAATCGATTGGTATATATAAAATTTAAATTTGAGGTAAATTTAATAAATTAATGAAAGTTAAAAAATAGAAAATACACATTTGAGCTGAAAAATTTTATATTTATTTAAATTCAAGTTTAAATATAAAATAATTGTGTTCCTTGCATTAAAACGAATTGATATAATTAAAAATAATTATAAATTATATATTATATATATTATTTTTTCATTTCATATTTCGTTAATTTCGGAAAAATCAATATCATTTTTATTTAAATTTTGAAATGATTCAAGTGCATCTCCTTTAATACAACCGTCGTCACAATTAATAATAAAAAGCACAATTTCAACATTTTTCTCTGATATATAACTTGCAGTTGGTTATAATTTTATAGATTTTGGACTTATAGCCAAATGTATGTAAATTCTTGTACTGATTGTGAGAACTCTTGGAAGATGTCTAATTATTTTACGATAGTTTTGTAGCTTTTATATTGCCGAAGATGGGGAAATAAATTAATTAATTATGTATTTCTAGGAGTCGAAAATTATTTTGTGGAAAATTCTGTTTACATTGTCACCTTATTTTCGAATTTACAACAATTATCACGTAAATTCTCAATTCTAACACTTGTAGGAAAGACAATATTTATTGTATTTTATTATTTGAAATAAAATATTATTAACTTTATAAAATTCTAAAAGTAAAAATATACTCATTTCTATTGTACATAACTATTTACATATTAACATCACTTTAATTCACACAATTTTTGAGAAATATATATCTATGTACTTTTTGTTAAAATCATGTTTTATTCATTTATTTTAATAGGCAATTTGTAAAAGTATTATTTAAAATTATGTACGAGTTTAATGGAAAATAAATTATCTAATTTTCTTTATTATATTTTATTATATTTAAAAAATAATTTTGCATTGAATTTTAACAAATTTATAAGTTTAAATTATTTATTTTAATATAAAAAATTTTTTAGAATTATGATTTGATAGAATCTTATTCTGTAGATTATTAATTTTACAGAATATTCATTTGTTTGAATATTAATGTTTTAGAAAATGCAAGTGGACGAAAATCAATTTGCCAAAATAAATTCGAAGGGAACTTCAAATTGGACAAATCAAAATTGGCCAATAAATTATTAATAACCGGCTCTTTTTTCTAATGGATGAAATAAATTTTTTTTTGTAACAAATTTTGAAAATATATTATTTTTATTAAAAGTCAAGTACACTTTGTTTTGAGCTTCCACCACCACCACAAGAAACATCGTCTTGTTCACGTTGTGCAGTGTCTCCCAACTCTGGTGGTATGTGTAAAACCTGGAAAAAAAGTATATAAGAATTGTAAATTAAGTTTAAAATTTACGCAAATTTTAGTACTATATTAAATCAACTTCAAGTACCAAAAGACTATTAATTTATTTAAATAAATGTAAGATCTTTAGTGGGTAAAAACTTCGGCGTTCCTCCAGGATCAAGTTTTTGTTCTTACATAACTTTTGGTATTCAAGGCAGATACCCGGGTGTCGATTATGTAGTTTGATTTGATTCTGACGTTAAATTCAAATTTATTTTAACGTCAAAGTCAAATTTAATTCTAGAAATTAATTTTAATGTCACAATCAAATAAAAAAATAAATTTCTCCAATTAAGTTTATTTTGACGTCAAAGTCAAATTCGAGAAACTAATTTTAACGTCAAAATCAAATTAAAAAATGAATTTCACGAATTAAGTTTGTCTTTGACGTCAGAATCAAATCAAATTACATAATCGACAACCTGCAGTTCGGTGCTCCGAGGTTATATGGGGTCAATTACTCCTTATTTGCTCGACCCACTAAAAACCACACCCTTTGACTGGACTAATCCTCACACTACGGAACTGCCGTCAAGCTTTAAACTTCGTAGGTGAAGATCCTTGGGATCTCGCATTCGCCTATACTTTTCTCTATATAAAAAGCAGCTTGAGCTTCTACTGTAGTTTGCAAACTTATGATCGAATTCACCGCATTTAAAGCACGCAGTCGATCTGTCCGCTGCCTTACAAACTCTTCATATGTGACCGTACGCCAGGCCTAGTGGCATTAAACGACCATTTTCTTTTTATTGGCCAACACGTAAACTTAATCCTTGTGCGCATCAATTTTTCCAGTCTGTCCGCCTCCTCTGGGTCGGTGACTTCAACTGCAAGCTTTATTCCTAGGAAGCTTCATTCCTGGGTCCTAGGACCGTCTCTTTTCTGCTTCCTGGCTTCTGGAGCACTTCCGCCAACGTCTGTTGAACCTCTTCTTCCTGGGTGAGGATATTCAGGTCGAGGATCTCCAGTGTGACCTGTCGATCCACGGTTTACATCTTCTCCATGCTTCATACCGCTTTGGTGACTTCAACAGTGAATGCCACCTAATTGGAGTCTCATCCGATTTCAATCAGATCTCTCTTTCTTGTAGGCCTTGCACCCACGACTTGCGTGTGATTGACGTCCGGATTCAATTCCCTCTAAAGTTTATTCAATACGTCGGCATACGTTGTTCCTGTTTCTACTCGGATCACCATTGTAGACACACTCGTCGCTTCCTTCTTACTGGTTTGCTTAGGATTCGGTGCTAACGTCACATTCGCAATATTTTTGACAAGAGGTGCCTTCCTCTTGCTTTTTTTTCTTCTCCTCGGCGTTAGTCCTCTCCGAACTGCCAAAACTTTTTCTTTGTTTCTCATGCTTCTCATGAATAAGCTCTCCTTTCATGTTTTCCTCTTCTCAGTTCACCTCTGCGTGGCCTATAGCGCCATCAAGATTGCTATCTCCATTATCTCCTGGGGCGTGCTTTGACTTCGCCTAAATGACAAGATCCTGAAGAGTCTTAAGTCTGTCCTTAATGGTGTTCCGCAATTTCAAGCAGTGGTTGTTTTTCAAAAATTGGCTCCTCGTAAGTGCATTTAATGTAAAAAAGATTTTTCTCTCAACTCGGATAGAAACGAAAAAATATCAGTTCAATACTACTCAAATGTTTATACTCTTTCTATTTTACTTCCTGTTGTTTTATATGTGAATAAATCTTTAATTTCTTGGAGACAAATGAAAGTACGCAAACTCAAAATAACTGGTATTTTTTCCGATTTTGCCATTTCTGTCCGAATTGGGAGAATATTTTTCAAATTAAATTATCTCATTTTTAAAAGACAACCACTGCTTGCCATTACGGAACACAGTTAATGTTGACATTTTTCTGAACTTCGCAAGACTTTACCATCTCGACGATCTTCTGAAGACACTCAGCTACCTCCTGGCTAAGATTTAATTTTTTTTTTTTAATTTTGGTTAAAATTTATTTTTCTTATTTAAATAAATTAATAGTCTGGTATTTGAAATTGTTTCATATATTACTTTCAATTTTTCTTTTGTATTAAATAAATAAATAAAAAATTACCTCAATGAGAAATTTTTTCCTCCTTAATTTGAATGCCAAATCAGTGGAGTGTGGACAATGTGACACTAAAGTATTAAACGCTGAGAGTTTTTTTATATGCAACAAGCCATGATAATCTTTGAATACAACATTTGTTTCCTTATCAGAACCAGCAAATGACTCCAATCTTACTACCGTATCTGAAAGATGTTCCAATCTTTCTATCATAGCATCCTGTGGAGAAAAAAAACGAAAAATTATGTTAAATTTCAGACTAGAGCAAAAAAACAGAACTTAAGAACTTTATTAAAAAAAATATATATTAAATTAAAAAATTACTTTATCAGAATACAAATGTGCAGGAAATGTAATTGTCGCAACAGCATAAGAGCTCCTTAATAATGCTCTAAAACAATAAATAAATTTTAAAAGATCACTTTTTGTATCATTTTCCTCGTCACACATCCATGGCCATGATCCTAATGATCGTATTGCTATTCGTAAAATATTTCTCTTCTCCGGTGAATTTGACACCAAAAATTGTCCATTTGAAATTGTTTCCTCTATTGATTTCAATAAATCAACATATTCCTGTTTTTTAAAATTAGTTGATTTGAATTTTAAATTTTCTCCATTCCATTGTGTGACTTGTGTCATATCAATTTTTTTTCTATCCATACCTTTTGTAAGATCAAAAAAATGACCAAATTTGTTACTACCAGATGGTGATGTATCAACTATTTTTAAATTTTGATATCTCCATGCAATTTTCATTTCATCTTTAATATCATTTTTATTCTCCTTTGGTGTATCTGTTGCAACATCAGGAATTTCCGATAGAAATTGTTCAATTTTTAATCCTCGTGATGCAATAAAACTATCATGAGAAACAACTATTCCTTCGGCAATAAAATATTTTAACATAACATTTGCATAGTTTCCATATTTGTCCTCTTCTAAAATTTGAAATTATAATCAAATTAAAATTTCATTCTTATGTTTTATTTTTAAATGTAAATTTTTATTATAATTACCAATCAAAAATATTGATCCAATAGGTAAACCACCTCCTGGTAAAGTAGAAAATAATTTCTATTAAATCTATTTTTATGAAAAGTATAGAAAAAAAAATTGCCACTTCCTTGTAATTAAAAATAATCAATTGTGCAAGACCAGAACAAAAATAAATTCTAACAACAATTTTCAAAATATTTAATAAAAAATTATTCAAAACAATCCAAATTTAAATTCGAAGAATGATTTTTTTACTTAGAGATATTTAAAAATTGTTTTTCAAAAAAAAAAAAAAAAATGTCCTGATGAATTCTGTAAGTCGTTCACAAAAAAGAAAAAATCATAACAATAATTATGAACAATTAAAAATTAAAATTTGACAAAAAATTAAATTTTTAAATTTTTAAATAAAGTTTTTTACTCAGAAATAATGCAAATTTTATTATCCAAAATGTTATTATATTTATAATAATAAATAAATTAAATAATGTATTTATAATAAATTCCATTTTTGAGAAAAGAAAATAAAAAACGGAGTTTTAGAAAAAAATACGTAGAAAATAAAAAATGTATATTTCAATTTAATCTACAACTTAAGTCTTCATCGAACTCTTTTTTGTAAAAAGTACAAAAAAAAAAAATTTAACTGTTTAATAAAAATATCAGTCACTTTAACTAAAACACTTTTAAAGTCTAAAGGCCACGGATCGACTTTAAAGCACAAAAATAGTCGTTTTAGTCAATTTATATTCCAAAAAAAGTCGAAAAAGTCGATTTTTTTTATTTTAAGAAAATTTAATTGGTTAATAAATATTTTACTTTAAATAACTAATGTTATTAGATATTAAATTCATTTTATTAATTCTGTAATGAGAATAATTCTATAATGAATATTATCAAGAACATTTATTTCTATTTCATAATCGAAGTAAAAGACAAATTTTCAAAATTTTATTTAAGTATAGGACAAATTTAAAAAAAAAATTCTTAAAGTTTAATTTTTATAATTTTTTCAAGTCTGATTTAAGGAATTTATTCGAATTAAAAATTTTTTCATAGTTTAGTTTTGATGGTGAAAAAAAATTTAAGGTAATACAATACTTAATTTAGAAATAATTGAATTTGAAAAGATTTTGTTAATTTTCAAACAATAATTAAATTTTACAGAACTAAAAATATCACATAATTTTTTGATATAATTTTTTAAAAGTAATTAAATTTTCAAAGATTTACAATTTAGATTTTTGAAATTAATTTAAATTTTAGAAGCTTTTAAATTGAAATTATTATAAATTAATATTATTTTATTATTATTATATTTTGATAATTATATTATTATTATTATTATTATTATTATTATTATTATTATTATTATTATTATTATATTTTGAAAATAATTGAAATTCAAAAGATTGTGTTAAATTTCAGACAATAATTAAATTTTACAGAAATAAAAATAATTTATCACATAATTTTTGGATAAAATTTTTTAAAAGTAATTAAATTTTCAAAGATTTACCATTTTTAGATTTTTGAAATTAATTGAAGTTCAAGAGATTTTTAATTAAAAATTTTTCATAATTTATGTTACTAAAAAATTGATTAGAAATTGCAAATAAAAATAAAATAATTTGAAAACAGTTTAAGTGAAAAATTGTTTTAGATAGTTGAATATTCGAACAATATTATAAAAATCATTAAAAATAATTGAATTTAAGTTGAAATTATTAAATTTCAAAAAAAAAATTTAGATGAAAAATTTTTAGAAATAATTAAATTTTAGAAGCTTTAAAATTGAAATTTTTGAAAATAATTAAAATTTCAAAAAATTTTGTTAAATATCAGATAATAATTATAATAATAGAAATTTTTAGTGATTTCTGTTAATGAAGAATTTATTAAAAATCACATATAAAAATTGAATTTCAAAAGTTTTTAATTGAAAAATGCTTTCAGATAATTGAATTTTCGAAGAATATTATAAAAATCAATAAAAATAATTGAAATTTTTGCAAATAATTAAATTTTAAGTGATTTTGAATTAAAATTTGTTGGTAATTTTATTTGCTAATTTTTTCTTTTTAATTAAGTATAAACAATTACCTATTAAATTTCATAAAAATTTTAATTGAAAAATAGTTTAAGATAATTGAATTTGTAAAGAATTTCATTTAATTTATATTAAAAATAATTAATTTAGCGAAGAATTTTAGTTAAAAATTTGTTAAATAATTGAAATAAAAATCTGAAGATCTGCATTGTATACTAAAAAAAAAGGAATTTGGTTTAAATTTTTTTTTTTTTAAATGCAAAAAAAAGTCGAAAAAGTCGCATTTTATTAAAATAAGTCGAAAAAAGTCGTATTATCCGAAATCTGAGTCTACTAATCTCTCTAAATTATTACAATATTCGTACATTACACGATTTTAGGTTAGGAAACCCAAAAAAAAACAAAATATATTCGAATTCAAATATCTATCATATATCACTAAATTCATAATAAAACAATGAATAAATAATAAAAATAAAAATGAATCTATTACCTATTACATGATCAAGAGATGGAATTCCTGTAGAAATAAAGAGTTGAGCATTATGTGTTGATGGTTTTGTTCCCGGGATTGGTGGTAATTTTTTAATTTTACTACTACCGGACGCCATTGAAAACAATAAATTTTTATTTTTTTATCACTTATTTTCAACTGTCATTAAATAAAAACTTATTGTATTAGAATATCAGTGAATTTCTTATTATTGTAAACAAAACATACATTGAACACATGTTCGTAACTATAAACGGAAAACTGTGTAGATAGCTGACTCACTAATGCGAACCGCTCTCTCGAACCCAGAAGGTAAAATCGACGGCAGACTTTTGAAGTAGAAACGAAGACAGAGTCAACAGAGTGAGTCTTTCAATACAACACAGAATAAAATGGCGATACACTGGTGGAATTTTCTTCACATTTCACAATAATTGTGTAAGTAAAAAAATTGATTTAGTAAAATATACAAATTTTAAATGTATACTTAACAATATTATATATAATGTAAATTATTCTGTTTTATTTTTAATTAACATAATAACTAATCGCATGTTGGTCCACCATATTACAAAAAAAAAATTTTTTTGTGGCCATATTGTCTCAAATTTTAGACAAGACAAGACAAGACACAAGTTGGCAACAAGAAGACTTGTTTTATTATGGTTGGCAATATGTGTCATTTCTATGACAATATAATACGCTTTCTGTAATTGTCAGATTTAATTAATATTAATTAATTAATAATTAAATTAATAACTCTTTAAAAGTTATTTCGCCTGATAGATTAAAATGGGACACACTGTACAATAATCGAGAGACTTCGTTAGCACATTTAGGTAATCATTATTAGTTCCTTTCGTTTTAGTGCACCTAACCTAAAAAATGTATTGATAAATAACGGAATTATTTTTTATATGCTTAAAAAAAAATTTCATTGCTACTTTTTAAACCGGTTGCCCATCTAAAATTTTTAATATTTCTGTGCGTAAATACAGTAATATTAGAGTTAGATTGAATGTTCCACAATAGGAGCATTCATTATGGAACAAACGTACAGGTGTAAAAATGGCATACCATAAATATGTCCATAATCATTTTTCTGAATTTTATTTATTAAACAAATCAAATTAATCAAAATTAAGTTTTAAAGAGTGTTTTAAAAATCTACAATGGTAGGCCAATCGATTAGTAATTGTCAATTTTTAATTAGTATACTTGTCTCATAAAAATACTCTTAATATTTGGGCAACCAAAAAAGTGTTCCATAATAGGGGCGTTTACATTACTGGATTAATTACTGGAAACTCCATTATGTAATTTTTTTGTCATACATTTGATGAAAATTTACTTGTTGTGCACTATAGGAATATTTAACCCAAAATTAAGACAAAAAATTTTTTGTTTATCTTAAATTATTTTTCAATTAAAAATTTTATGAAATTCAACAATTATTTACAATTTAAAAAAATCAAATAAAATTACCAAAAATTTCCATTTAAAAAACCTTTTAAAATTTAATTATTTTTAAAATTTGGCAACTAAAATTTTTTGAAATTTAATCATTTCAATTATAATTCTTTAAAAATTTAATTATTTTTATAATATTTTTCGAAAATTCAATTATCTGAAAGCATTTTTCAATTGAAAAATTTTAAAGTTCAATTTCTGTGTTTAATTTTTTATAAATTCTTCAGCAACAGAAATTACCAAAAAATTTCAATTCAAAATCACTTAAATTCAATTATTTTCAAAAATTTTAATTTAAAACCTCTTCTAAAATTTAATTATTTTTATAATTTTACATTTAAAACTTTTTGAAATTGAACTATATTAAATATATAACTATATTTTTGAAATTCAACTATTATTCTTCCGTAATTCATTTATTTTCAATTATTTTTATAATATTCTTCAATAAAAATTCAATTAGGGTCGACCGGGGTAAATCCGAACGCTTTTAGTAAGTTTCAACAATAACATAAGTTTTTTCTTTAAAAAAAAATACTTCCGGTATTCTGATGCATGAAGTTGTTACTTTACTTCCATAGAACAATTTTATGGGGTAGCAAAATTTTTTGATAAATTACAATCGCAGGAAACTTAGCGTTCGTATTTACCTCGATACTTTGCAACTTTCCTAAAATACCGGGGTAAATACGAACGCCACTGTATTTCAGAAAAATCTTAGGGAAAATAAATTTAACGTATTGCAATTGTTAAACTTATATAAAAACTCAAAAAAATACGATAATAATGCATCATATATAAATACAAAAATCAAACAGGTTAAAAATTAAAATGCATTACACAATTAAAACCTTCAATAACTTTATCAAATCATAACGGATTTTTGCAAAACTTGGTACAGAAAGTATTTTGGAGTGATTGAATGTAAATACAAAAATAAAAGTCAAATTTTTTAAATTCAAAATGGCGGACTTTCCTAAAACTTATTTTTAAAAATCATCAAATTTGCTAACCCTGAAACCCCCCGAGTAACAATTTTCGAGCGAATCCAATGAATTTTTTAATTCTCGTCCGCCATTTTGAATTTTGAAAAACTGACTTCAAATTGGTAATTAGCGACCCCAAAAACCGTAGAATACCAAATTTTATTAAGATCCTGAAAAACTTTTTTCAACAAACCATTTGGCAAAAAAATTGAAACACTCCTTCGAGAGAACAGAGATTAAGTTTCTGCTTATTAATTACTAACGAGGATACGTATAGAAAGAAAAACTTTTTTCTATGTACTTTTATAATGTTAAAATAATAGTGTAATGAAATAAAAAGAATTTTGTGTGGCTCTGATGTAAAAAAAAATTATTGAAAATACCGTTCGGATTTACCCCGGTTTTCCAATTTTCCTGGGTAAATACGAACGGTCTGATATTATTAATAAAATTTTACAGAAGGCAAAACTGAAAAATAGTTTCTGTTCTAGTATTCATAACAAACAATTATAAATAATAAAATGAATTTTTAGCTTCTTTTTCTTGAAATACGAGACAAAATACTGAAAGAGTGTCATCTTTGATTTTTAATCTTTTTTGCAATACTCGTTATCTTTGTTTATGCTGTTGCTAATTAACAAACGAAAAATAGGATAATACTTAGAATCTCTTCAAGAGGATCTGAGGTAAAAATTCTCATATCGAACTTATTTTTAAAAATTTTAATTAAGCTGAAATAATTAGCGTTCGGATTTACCCCGGCTGACCCTAATTCCATCACTTTTTGATGTGGAATAAATTTTGATTTATGTTTCCGGTAAATAATAATATGTAATATTTGGTAGTTTTTTAATAATAACGTCTCCAAAAAAAGTGCAACATTTCAGGTTATGAAATCACGTCCGTGAACCTTCTACTTTGAATTAATAATAATTTCAAAGGAAATAAAATTTTGCACGATAATATTTATCACCAATAAACTTAGAAATTCATCTAGTTTCACATAATATTAAAACTAGATTTTTTAAAAATAAGCCAGCAACCACTCTCAGATGATTAATTTAATTAAATTTAATTAGTTAATATTTTACATAATATTTTAATTTAAAATATTATTTTAGTAAAAGAGTATTTTAAAAAAATATTTTAAAATAGTATTTTCCTTAAAATATTTAATGTTATTAAATATTAAATCCATTTTATTAATTCCTTAATAAGGAATATAAAATATTTCTTACAGAAAGGTAGAAAGAAGGTTAGAAAAAAAGGCAGGAAATTTTTTTTTATACTTCTTGCTGGACACCCTGATAATTCAACAGGAATAGGGTAAATGCACTAATTACGGCGTAGTTCGAGTTAAAACACCTTTGAAATAGAAAATTCGACATTTCTATTGTATAAAGTAAATTTAAGACTTACAATTAGTAAACTAAAAGCTTATGTTATTTAGATATTAAAAAATATTTTAAACTTTATAAAAATTGATTATTTAAATAAATATGAGAAATTAAAACTAATACCGTAATTTTCTATTACGACGCGTTTGTATCAGTTTGGTGTATCAATTACGGTGACAAAAATTACGTGTATTTTGAAGATACTTTGACCACCGTATAATTGAAGCCATTGGAAATCTTAAAAATGTTTCAATTACGGCGAGGGAAAAAATTTGATCTCAAAGAATTAAATTAATAATTTTTTAAATGTGCATCTTTACCTATTAGTAATTGTATCAAAAAAAGATTAAAATCATTTTGCAACATTTATATTAAATATAATAGTAATAATAGTTATATTTTTTATGAACGCGCCGTAATTGATGTACTTACCCTATTATCAAGAAAATTTATTTCAAATATTTCAGAATCAAAGACATAAATTAAAAAAATTTTAATGTAGAACAAATTTCTAGAAAAAAAAAACTGACAACAATAAATTCAATTTTAGAGATTTTATTTGAAACTTACAAAGATTTATATTCATATTTTTCAAATTAATTGAACTTCAAGTGATTTTTAATTGAAATTTTTGGTATTGAAGAATTTATTAGAAATTATATACAAAAATATTGAATTTCAAAAATTTTTAATTGAAAAATGCTTTTAAATAATTGAATTTTTGAAGAATATTATAAAAATAATTGAAAATAAATGAATTACGGAAGAATTATAGTCGAATTTCAAAAATATAGTTTATATATTTAATATAGTTCTATTTCAAAAAGTTTTAAATGTAAAATTATAAAAATAATTAAATTTTAGAAGAGGTTTTAAATTAAAATTTTTGAAAATAATTGAATTTAAGTGATTTTGAATTGAAATTTTTTGGTGATTTCTGTTGCTGAAGAATTTATAAAAAATTAAACACAGAAATTGAACTTTAAAATTTTTCAATTGAAAAATGCTTTCTGATAATTGAATTTTCGAAAAATATTATAAAAATAATTAAATTTTTAATGAATTATACCTAATCAAAGAAAATTCTTTAAAATGATTATTTAATTAATTGATTTTCGTACAAGTGTTAATTTGGACAAATAGAAATTAGTGTTTATGGCACCTCATTACAAATATTATAATAGTATAATAATATAACAAAAGAGAGAAGGCGAAAGGTGTTGCATTTCAATGGATGTAGAGAGAGAGAAAGAAAGAGCGAGATAATTCAGTTAAATCACGATAGATGGTGTTAGAGTATCGTTTGCAATCAACGGTCAGTCACCATCTGTACTGCTTGCTCGGTCACAAATGTTTTGTATTAGTAGTTCATCAACTTACAACCAGGTTGCATGGTTGTTTTTCTGTCGTTAGGAATTATGGGCC